TTCTGGGAACCGTGCCTTGAAGCCTTGAAGCAATGTGCGTTCATGGTCTAGCCGACTCTCTAAGACAAACTTCTTCTGACGTATTTGCTTAATAGAGGCCTTAATTTTCAAAGCATCTTCGACATGAGCAATCCCTTTGGCCACGTCTTGGTCGATAGCCTCCTTGGCTGGCAAAGGTGCTTCAACATCCAAAGAAGCCTTCTCCCTTTCAACATTGACGATCTTTTGTTCTAGCTTCGTTATTTGGGCGCAATAGCTAGATATCTGCTGGTTGAGGGCTAGGCGTCTGTCGGAGCGTGTCTGCTGGGAGGCCTTATAATATTTCAAGTTCTTTTCACAGACGGTGCTGAAATACCATTCCCGCTTTATCTCGTTTATTTGGGCTCGGATTTGGGCATCAGCATGTTTGCACAGGGTCACATCTTTCGCCAATTGGGTGAAGAAGGCTTCAAACTCGAACAGATAGACGGTTGTAGAAGTCGACACGTCGAATGTCGAAAGCGCTTCCAGAATCTTGAAGACGTCTCGATCTACAGGCGCTTCAGCGACTGCTTCAACAAACTCTTTCTCAAATAAGCGGGCCGTCAACTCCTGTAGCTTAAGGTCAAAAGTGTTGTCTTCGGCCGGATTAATTGTATTCTTAGACCCTGTAGGGTTAACGGCCTCGACAGTCCCACGAAGCTTGATGATATCTTTTAACGTCTCCGTAGGGTTTGACAGTTTGGAGGCTAAGATATCCTCGGGGGTGTTGAGCGAGCCTGCGACGCCATCCCTCGAAGGTGAAGAAGGTCTAGCCACATGACTAGCACCTGTACCATCCTCTCTATTGCTATGAGCGATATTCTTAACATCTTCCTCAAGGTAGACAACAACAACAACAGGGTTTTGTCTGGAAATTTCCTCCTTCGAAGTCCCCGGGAACACGCCAACATTTTGGGGACTTAGAGGAGGAGTAGTCTCAACAGACTGCCCATCAGTGTTGGCGATAATGTCGGCAAGCATTGGAGAATTTGGATCTTCGGTGTCTTGCGAAGAAAACAAGATAAAAGATATCGATAAGAAGACACGAGAGGCCTATTGACAAAAGGGGAGGAAAGAACATTACCTCAGGAGTTTTGGGTGGAGGAGAAGTTCTGGTGACAACGGTATGAAAGACTTCAGTTAAGTCTTATAGTACGGCGGATGTTGGAGTCGACACATCCTCGTTTTAGGGGGTTTTCTTTGTTGGCACTTTATTTTTCCACCTCAGAGGAGAGTCCAACGACTCATAAGGAAAAACCCGAGAACAGGTACTCTCGTCCGACACCACCACGTCGGAAATGATTTGCTGTTCAAGATCCTGAGTGGAACAATTCAAGTAAGTTGGCCGACAAGGACAAGCGATAGAAAAAAAAGGGAACGTGTCATATCTAAGTATTAAGAACTTTTTGTTTTTTAGCTGGTTGGGTTGAAGTTGACACCACAGAGGGAGCCCTCTTGTGCCCCCGGGAAAAAACAAGTAGCAATCAGAAAACGATGCAAAAACTCAGCATAAGCAGATAAAGACAGAGGAATGAACTTACTCTTTTTTTAGCATCCCTAGGGGCATTGGTGGGTCGGGCCTCCACCAAAGGTGCTGATGGGCCAAGAGCTTCGCCTAAGATAGCTACAAAAGCATCGACCATGTTCTCTAGGAAAAGGTCATGGTCGAAGTGTTGCGCTTGGTACTCTGACCACCAGACATTGAAACTCTCGGTGGAAAAGAATGAAGGTTTGTAACGAAACACATGCAACTCTAGGTGTTGACTCGACTTGGCAAACTTGAGACAATTCTTGTGGCCTGTCTGGTTAAGCTTTCGACTAGCCCACACGACATCATCATGATGGCGAACCAATGGCTTTGATAGCATCTGGCTCAGGCTAAATTATCGAGCAACCAAATTAGGCTAGTAGTTCATAAACTCGTACCCAGTGTTGCTCGAGTCGATACGAAATGACAGCATCGCCGAGGTTAGGAAAGCTCTCTAGATGGAGTTGGATCTTGCAGTTGTGCTAGGGGAAGCACCACGAAAAGGATTCTGGAACCAAGTCGGCCCAAACCTTCGATGGGCGAAGGGAGCCATCCCAGGAGCAAAGAGGTTTGCCTCGGCAAACATAGTGAGGTATTTCAAAAAAGGGTTTTATTGAGAGTCTCCTGCGTGGTCAGAAGAGCAAGTCGAATTCCCTCCACCGGCCGATCCTCGATCAAACGTTGCATTTTGGCCGACACTGGGTAGCCCAGTTGATGTTCAAAAGTGGCGTTTATCCAATGTTGTAGCAACTACTTTGGCCCTAACATGTTCATGGCTTTGGTGGTGTCATAAAGATGGGCAATCTTCAGAGATGCCAGCCCCACAGAGTGATACAAAGAGGCTAGAAGAAGATTGACAAGGGCCACCTGTCGACCCTCATGGATTTGAACAGCCAGGTTGATATAGCTTTTGGCTATCTGCAAAGAACCTAGGCAGAAGAGATAATACGAAAGCCATAAAGTCAGGAAGATAATGTGCTCTTCGTCGGACACCTCGATTGAGTCTGTGTCGTGATGATCTTCGATAAATTTTTGAAAACCAGCCCGATCAAACTCAAAAGAGGCCTCCATCTTAATGGTGGAGTCAAAAGTTTTTCCCACCAGAGAGAGACCAGTAATGGCCGCCACGTCGAAGAGAGTGGGCGACAGCATCCCACAGGGTAATTGGAAGGTGTTTGTCGAACCTTCCTAGAAGAACATCGACGCCAAAAGGAGGCATGGGTTGACCCTGTGAGCATTCCTCGACAGCTGGATGGCGTCGAAGATGTCAAACCTTTTCCATTGGGTCTGACGTTTGTTTTGAACCTTGTTCAACCGGACAAGGTAGTCTTTGTTGCCTGGGGTGGGCATCGAGCAGAATACCCTAGCTTTTGGCACCATAAATTTTAGATCAAGTTTGCCACCTTTGCGGAAAGCTGGAGGCATGGCTGCCGGAAAGCCAGGAAAAAAATGGCTACATGGCTGCATGGCTAGGCTTGCATAGGGGGTAAGGACCGTGAAACACATGAAGCTTTCCGGCCACCGCGAAAGGGATAATCATTTGTTTCTTTTAGGCCGCCACGATGTTTTCGTCAGTAGAAGTGGGATTTGGGAGCGGTTTGTGAGCATCAGCCTCTGACAGAACAAAGGTAATAGGGTAGTTGCCTGTTGTGTGAGTTTGGGAAGATGGAGATGCCATTGAAAATGGTGGTTCTTGAGAAACTGGTATGGTTGTGGTGTTTGAAGAAGAAGAAGCGCATAAAAGTATTGAGGGGAAAAGTTCTAAAATGAGACTTATGGGTTATTTATACTCAATGCTAGTATGGAAGGAAAAAAGGTAAGGGGCTTTTCAGTTGCTCACTCGTGGGAAAAATAATGAGTGGAAGTTGGTACTGATGTGGGGAAGTGGTAAAGAATGATGGTAATTCTTGAAAGTTGTGGCGCAGAAAGGTGTCATCATCACGTCAGGGGCGACTGATACATGGATGATTTGACAGAAAAGTCATGATGACACAAACAGCTGCCACATGCCTGGAAAAACACCAAGCTTCTCAGTCGAAGCTTGGTTTTTAGTGTGGCATCTTGTTGGCTAGAAATTAGCCAACTGGAAGCATCCACCTCGGCAGGAGCTCAAGGAAGTAGGCGTCAGATCGACAAAATCCTTGGGTGAAAGCCAAGGATCGACAACAACAAAACCTGGAAGAAATACGCACTGAATCGACACTGCAAAGTGGCATGGTCGACGGGTTCCTGCGTCGATCGACCCAAAAGAAAACCAACAGGAGTACCCTCGACGTGAAAAGGTTTGTGCCTGGCGGGAAATCACTTTGAAAAGAGAAACGTGAGAGCAATTACAAAAGTCATGGGCTGACACGTGGCACATCTTGAAGCCTCCTGGCAGTTATTTTATGTGTCTATATAAAACAAAGTCTTGTTTTCAAAAAAGGGCGTCTTTTGTTAGCATTTGAAGAAAAAACACTCTAAGTACCACACACTAAAGAGAAAAGAGTTTTACTTTTTCATTCCAAAATGTACGAATATGTCCAGTTGTGCTTTCCCTTTTTACGTTAAATTTACCAAGTATTTATGTTATTTAGAGTAACATTTTGTTCAACATTTCTTTAACGCCTCTGTTTCAGCATTTCTTTGTCTTAATTTTTCTTTATTTGCCTAAAGTTTAATCCTACACGCTCCATAAAGCAAACAACCGTCAAAGTGCGCCATAAACCTAAGTAAACAATCCACCCAAAACCAATGTCCTGTGACTAGTTTGCCCGGTCCCGCAAGCTAATCCGCAGAGGAAGGTCAGAGATTGTCCGTGCGAAAATCACGTGCGAACAAGCGCATTAGTTGATTTTGCAATACTGTCGTCATGTCATATGGCACATGCTTATTGAAACTAAGCCACTTAGTATTTTTTTTTTTTTAAATCTGAATTATTATAATTTATTTTTGTTGAAAATATATGTTATTTCAAAAAAAATTCTCATTTTTCAAACATTTCACATAATGTGAAATAGAAAAACGAAGTACAGTTTTTCCTAAAATCAAACTAACCACTAAAAAGCATCCACGTAACACTACCATCCACGTGTACGTTATCAATTGGACCAAAGCATGTCACGAAACGTACATCTAAAAGTCCATTCAACCATCGAAACGACTCGTTACGTTACCGTGCAAGAAGGGGTTGAATGAAGGCATCACAATCAGCACCATAACATAACCAAATCGCAAACGGATTTCTTTCATTTCTTTCACGGTGAAGTGTGGAATGCACTAATTTATTTCTATCACAGTGGCTTCCTCAGGGTCGCAACACCAGGGAGGACTATCACGAAGAAAACCTTCTTCTTCTTCTTCTACGCAACAAACCGGGTCGACCCGAATCATATACCGAGAATCAACTGTTCATTCCGAATCTGATCTTCCGATCTGGCAACGTAACTGGTTCATCGCGTTTCTGTTTGTGATGGCTCTTGGATTCTTCGCTCTCGCTATTTTTCTATTTCTCACTCTAGATCCTGATGTTTCTCCGTCTTCCACCGCTTCTGCTTCCGCAGCTTCCTCCGAAGGCGTCGAGGTTTTTTTTTCTTTCTTTGCTTTCAATTTCGATTTCGTTGTCTAGGGTTAGAGATCTTGCAAATTTGCTAAGTGTTGTTTTTGTTACTGATCTGGTTTGATCTGGAAATTGTATAGGTTCAGATTACTTATGGTTCGGTTATAAAGCTTATGCACGAGAAGACGAAATTTAGGTTGCATTCTCATGATGTGCCGTATGGCTCTGGCAGTGGACAGCAATCGGTTACTGGTTTTCCTACGGTTGATGATTCCAACAGTTATTGGGTAATATTATCTCGTTCTTCCTATTTGCTTAAGCTATGATTAGATAAACGGATTAATTATGCTCTTATAGGAGTAACACTTAACACATAAGTGCTTATTTATAAGCTATTTTTGGTAATAGAAGAGAAAATAATGTAGAATGGTTGCTATATTGATTATCATTACGTAATAAGTTATCCCGGGGAGCTTATGCAATAGGAAGAAAACAATTTATATACATATGATATTAACATGTTCTCATAAGCTCTTAAAAGCATTCCTAAGTATTAATGTAAGTGGATAAGCTCAAACAAGTTCATCCGAACAGACCTTTAATATCTAGGTGGTTTTTGTTATTGTGATGATTTGTGCTAATATTGGTTGGCCATTTGGTTCTTGACTTTTCAATCTGAGTGTTATTATTTTGCAGATTGTTAGGCCTGAGCCAGGGACTTCAGCTAAACAAGGCGATGCCATTAAAAGTGGCACAATCATTAGATTACAGCACATGAGGACAAGGAAGTGGTTGCACAGCCATTTGCATGCGTCCCCAATATCAGGCAATCTCGAGGTGTGTTTTCTTTTCATTTTTCCAGCAAGTGTTTTTGGTAAATGTTTCACTTCAATAAGCTGATTCTAAGGTGTTTCCTGTGTATGCCCCCTTACATATAGCCGCCAAATTATAATTACAAAACACGGGTGATTCCTTTTTAATAGGTTGTTATACCTCTGCTCCCACTTGCATAAGCTAATGTTGCACATTGCAATGTGCTCTATTTGCTTCATTAGATGTGTGATTATAAAGACAAGACTCTGCATTTGGTATCTAATTGAAACATTCTGTGGTTGTCACCTCCTCTTGCACCTTCTTTATGTCTATGTTTATGTTTCTCTTGTCGAAATCTCTTGTCTTAGCGACATGCTAGAGGCCACTGTTTAATTCTATCATTTCACTTTGGGACATTATGTCATATGCTAAATGAATAGTATTATACAATCATATATCGTGTTTAAGGATTTTTTATATTACATGGTTGTTGACAGCGTAACGTGCCTTATTCGCTATATAAAGATGAAATATACTCTTTTTATTTTAATCTCTTACCAAAATCTGATTGAACCTTTTTATTGGTTATTACCATAACCATTTGATTTTCAAAGTTCTCAAACTACAATGTGATATAATGTGTCCGATACATCATCCACAATGGGTTCTTTTTTTTCTTAGTATAATGTTATTTTTCTTAGCTTTGAGTAAGCTCATCATCTTCTTACATTCACCACTCATACTTTCTATTAGAACCAATATTTTAAAAATCGGACCATATTGAGCCGGTGAGATCTCTCTGACATATTTAATCTGGCTCACACCCCAGGTTTATGCATCTTTTGCTGCTTAATCAACCCATCATTTCTTCTCCAGCTCTTGCTAATCTGGTGCTTCATATGTGGTATCAAACCAATTATATAACCTAGATGGTTCTATGCACTTTTCCACTTTGATTTCTTTGTATTCATTTCAGCCGTTTTGGTCTTTCAGTATTTCTTCAAACTTGTCTTAAGCCTATGCCTATCCTTTGCTGAAGTAAAACACAAATGAAAATGACTTACTACAATATCCTGATGTATCTCTTAGTTGCATCTCTATAAAAATCAAATGAAAAATACTGTTTATCATATAGTATGTAATTGACCTTGTCTATGGAGATAAGGTTTAGTTGTACTACAAAAAAATCAAGACTTATACAACTAACCACTACTCTTAAGTTATTTCCTCATTTATATTGACTGATGCAAATAAATTTGACATTGCTTAATTATTTCTTGAATTATAGAACTTAAACAGAACAGACTATTTTTCTTTCTTAAACCTAGACATTATTTTTTGGTCCTACTTAATTTCCTTTGCGTTTGAATGAGATGAGATTAAAGTTAAAGTTATGATTCAAATATAACCTGTTTTAGATCTAGTCTAACCATTGAATAACTGGGTTTATAATTTTGAGTTGAAAATAGGTCAGCTGCTTTGGTGGAGAAAATGATTCTGATACCGGGGACTATTGGAGGTAACATGGTTTTTCATGGACAATAATATAACTAGATCACTATATTCTAGGAAGTGCTTATATTGGTTTTGTTTTCGTTAGGCTTTTTATAGAAGGAAGTGGAAAGACCTGGAAGCAGGATCAAAAGATTCGGCTTCAGCACGTTGACACTTCAGGCTATCTACACAGTCATGATAAGAAATACAGTCGGATTGCTGGGGGACAGCAGGAGGTGAGAAATTACCTGGAATCTTATAAGTTTCTTTTGTCTTTCGCCAATATTTTATTGAATTGCAGATCAGCAGCGACGTGCAGATAATTTTATGTACCCTAAATTTTTTTGGATACTTAACTCGCTGCTTTCAGTTGTCATTTGTTAGGCGCTTTAATGTTAGTTGCTTGGGTATTTGGCTTGCATTACTAATAATGATGTCGATTATGATATCATAATACATGTTTTTTTATAGTGATCCTGATATTTATTTTTTTTAGCAAGTATGATATTGGAAGTAAATTATCATTATTGATTGTCATTTATTGTATTTGACTAGGTTTGCGGTCTTCGTGAAAAGCGCGCTGACAATATCTGGGTGGCAGCTGAAGGTGTCTATCTTCCTGTTACCGAAAGCAAACAAGTTGAGTAGTATCAATATTTTGTCCAATTAACGTGGATTATGTGATTGGGAGGTTAGCATGGGTAGTGATAATAGAGGCAGATTGTTGAAGGGAAAAATATACGTGAGCAATCTTAGGATGATATAATGATAGAAAATGTTGTCATAGGTTCGCTTTGTTATGAAGTACTGCAGGTCTTTCTCCCTGCAGAGATACTTGCTGCATCTGTTATTTTTGTTGTGCAATGTGCTAATGGGTAATTTTTCAAATAGGACTAATAAGGACGATGGATTTAGTAACTTTATTTTCAGTTGAATTAAGTTTAGTCTATTATACCGATGACTAATAACTACGAACCCAATGTTTGAAAACTTTTTCTTTTTCATTTGTAGTATATAAATTAGCTAAGTTTGAAGATATTATTTGCTAACAAAAAAGGTTAATTTAACGATATAGTATGTACGACAAACATCTTTACACCCAAGTTATATAATATTTCAATCAATGATGGAATATTGGTTTTGAAGTAAATAAGATCCTAATATCAGCATGACAATCTTCAACGATGACAAGATTTCTTTAGGGAAATTGTCTACTGCCATTGAACACTCCTCCTCTATTCCTTAATATAAGAAAAAAAAAATTATTTTGGAGATTCATTGAAGAATCAATATATAAAAATTACATATAATTTAGATATATTAATTCTTCAATAAATTTAAAAATTTATTTTTTTCCATATATTAAAGATGAGAGGTAATAACAATTTTATCATCTTTACATTTGCCAAAATTTCTCAATTCATTGGCAAAAGGTAAAGAATGTCAATAGTTTTTTTTTTTTTTTGTTGATCTTCTATTATTTTGTCAAAATTTTAATTCGAAATGCAGTATGGATTTAGGTTCGCAAATATATTTTTAAATTATTTTTTTTCTTTTAAATTCATTAATTATTTTAAAGATTTATCTCCGAATGTGTTTAATTTATATATTGCGTGAATAAATTCTCCTTATCTCCTTTACTTTACATTCAACTTTTGAAATATATTAAAACTTGTAAGCAACATTCTTCCAGTTTTTCCAGGAACATCAGAGTCTTTATTGCAATAGTACTAATTTCAACCCACTCCATCACTACATTCAATATTTTTCACCCTCATCAACACTTTTTGTGTAAGTTTTTCATTTAATTTTTTTAATTAATGTATTAGGTAAAATAGTTAGTTCAATATTTTTCACCCTCATCGACACTTTTTTGAGTAAGTTTTTTATTTAATTTTTTTAATTACTGTATTAGGTAAAATAGTTAGTTTTAAATGCATTAGGTAGTAGTCACATTAAAAAAATTGATTGAAAACAAAATCATTTAGAAAATATATAAATGTATTTTTAAATTCTTTTTTTCTTTTCAAATTCATTAATTATTTTAAAGATTTATCTCCGAACTTGTTTAATTTATATATAATGCGCGAATAAACCCTCCTTATCTCCTTTATTTTACATTCAACTTTTGAAATATATTGAAACTTGTAAGCAACATTCTTCCAGTTTTTCAAGGAATAGTACTAATTTCAACCCACTCCATCACTACGTTCAATATTTTTCACCCTCATCAACACTTTTTTGAGTAAGTTTTTCATTTAGTTTTTTTTAATTAATGTATTAGATAAAATAGTTAGTTTTAAATGCATTATGTAGTAATCACATTAAAAAATTGATTGAAAACAAAATCATTTAAAAAATTAGAGTTTGAAAACATTTTAAAACAAACGAGGGATTAAGCAGCGAAAAACCAAAGAAAATACAATAAAATAAAGAGATAAGGGATAGAGAAAAACTCCAAAGGTTTATCCAGGTTTGGCCTAAGTTAACTTACTCATGTCCCTAAGAATTAAACTTGAGAGTAATCCAATAAACGTGAGAACTTTAGACTTTCTTACCGTTTGTAGCACTTAGCGTTTAATTTAAACAATTACTTGTATGATAAAGTTGTTACGTCACAACTCTCCCCTTCATCTGAGACCTTTAAGAAAATGTGTTCATCTTCTTCATAGGATGAGAGATCTTCGAAGATTCTACCAGAGGTTGATTCTACAAGATTTCTCATTGATGCTAAGTCTTTAAAGTTATTTCTTGTTGAGACTTCTTTCTCATTTATTCTTCTGAAAACTTTATTGGATGAAACTTCTTCATCTTCTTCATATATTATTCTTGATGAAGTTTCTTCATTATCGAATAACGAATCTTCTAAGGATCGTTCGTCCACTGAGATTGTTCTTTCAAAGACAACAATAATTGACTTTTCTTTTTCTTCTTCAAAAGAGTTCTTTGATAAAGTTGCTAAGGATCCATAAGGTTCATTGTGTTAAATCCTTATTCTTTTAATAGTTGAACCAATTCGTTGATTTTTTTGATGATTTCCTCCTTTATAGAGTTGTCTTGAAAATTTTAAACGTTTCCATCTCTCGATTTAAGGATTGGATCAAATTTCTAATTTCAATTCTCAACTCAGATGTTTTTTAGCTAATAATGTTCTAACACGATTTCCAAGATTCATAATGGTTGAACACCACTTGTGAAGATAACATTCACATTTATTCGATGTTTCAACTTCTCTTTCTCATGTGTTCATTCCCTCTTGTTTTAAATTTGGGGAGGCTAAATATATCATTTCTAGAGTGTTTCATATTACTTTGGTAACATTACATTTAAGGACATAAAGTTTTTTATTTACTTAAAGACATAACCAAAATGTTTTTAGATTTACAATCAAATTCAAATTTTCTCTTGTCTTCTTTGGTCCAAAGAAAATCAGGTTTATCTACTACTTCACCATTAAAATAGTGAGTAGGGATAATCTGATTGATTATTGTTTCCCACAATTCAAGATTGATACTTTGAATGAAAATTTAAATTCTAACTTTCCATTATTCAAACCCATCACCATTAAATGACAGAGGTGTGTTTAGAAAAATCCTCTTGTTAAAAGAAATGTTGGAAGTCATCTTCCTTTTGAGATGATTAATCTTTAAATAAGAGTTAGACTCTGATGTCACTTTTTGAACATGTGACTGCATACATAAGACATGGGGGTTAGTTATGAAGGTTTGAAAAACTTTGGTTGAAAAAAATCATTTAGAAATTCAGAGTTTGAAAACTTTTTAAAATAAGCAAGTGAACAGGCAGTGAAAAACCAAAGGAAAGACAATAAAATAAAGAGATAAGGGATAGAAAAAAATACCATAGATTTGTACAAGTTTGGCATGAGTTGACATACTCATGTCCCTAATAATTATTCTTGAGAGTATCCAATACACTTGAGAGCTTTTAGAAGGATATGCCCATAAACCTCCTTATATAAGAAAATGAAGTTTTAAAGCTAACTTCTAACCAAAAAATGAACGAGGCTCAGAGTGAATATATTTCAAACTAAACATAGATTTACTACAGGATGATCTCAAACCAATATGGAGTTTTGAGTTAACTATCCTCCAAATCGAACCGAGGATTTGTACAGGCTGACCACAAACTAAGTTGAGGTTTTACACGGGCTAATCTTGCTCTAAGCTTTTACTATACTAAACTCAGGAACCAAGTGAGATTTTACATATGCTAATCTTGAACCGACAGAGGTTTCAATCAGGCTGAGCTCAAGAACTGTCGTGGAGATTTTAATGGTTGATTTTCACGAACCAAAAGAGAGTTTTTATTCTTGGTGAAACTCACGAACCAAACAAAGATTTACTAAGACAATCTCCTAAATCAAACAAGAGCTTTTAACCAGTTTAGCTTGCAATAAAAAAATAACTTATTATAGAAGAAAATATTTACTCAAGAGATAATACACTTTTGGTAAATTACAATTAAGCCCTCACCCAGAACAAAGATCCTCACTTAAACTCAAGAATACTCTTGAAGCAATATTACTAAATATGTATGAGAAAATAGGATTTAATGAACATTGTTTCGGACTGGCCCAATGGCTAAGCATGGCCCAATCCACTTCTGCACTCAGATCTGGCCCAATAGCCTAGGTCCTTCCAGTTGAGGACAAAGGAAAGCACTTTCTCTTCTGTCCCTCAGCCAAGGAGATTTGGCCAGCTGATCCCTAGGATCAGTTGTCCTTCATTTCATATCTTCCTATCACACACAGTTCATCCATCTAGGAATAACCACAACACGCTTGCCCGAAACCACGCCCCTGCTAAAAGCAACAACTAGTTCCGAGCATGTCTGCCAGTCTCAACGGCTAGTTTCAAAAAGTTACCTATTCTTGGAGGCACAAATATCTCGCCCCAAAAATAGGAACCAATGACCAAGCGCTAGGGGCATTATAAAACCCTCTCATTCGAGAGGGTCAGAGATTGAATATTCACTCGAATAATCACCCTAAGAAACACGTACTTTGTACATGCCTTATCTTCTCCCGATTCTTACTTTAGCATCAGAGTGCCTTGCAGGTACACCCCTTCCTCCTTGATTCTAGCATCGCATATGAAGTCTCTGACCCACTTTAGGTTCTGATCAACCGTCAAATCAGTGGCGCCGTCTGTGGAAACTTCATCTTTCTTTCCCATGAAACCAAATATCAAAGAAACTTTCCAAGATTCCGATCATGGCCAGCCATGACAACGTCCATGTTGCTCGCAACACTTTCATTCCTCACGCCAGCAAGACAAACAACGACGGGATAAACCCTTTTCTTGGAGAGAACTTTCCTCAGCTGAGGGATGAAGTCACTGCATCTCCCTTCCCAGATCGCGACAATAATGTAGAGGTCCAACACTTAGTGGATCACCAGTCTGTCCCAGTTCTGCCCAACGCCGACTCAGCCATGGCAGCTTTGCTTGAAGCCCTCAATAAGACAAACCATCTGATCCTCCAGCAGAATGCAATAATTAGAGCATTGGAAGAAGTCTGATGTCCAAGATATCCTCTACCAAGGCGCGAGCAGCAGAGGTCTCAAAGCCCTCCTCCTTCGAGGAAGAGGAATCACCATATCCCAGCAGAGCCAGAACCCCTGTTAGTCA